AACTCCTTCGTTGGGAACGGAACGAGAGTAGAACATCGCTGACGGACTTCTCACGCTAAGGTAATACCTCCGTCCCACAAGACATTTACCATTTCTCTTGATGCCTGTTATATTTTCTAGCAAACAACTTCTAAACTTCGCAAAGTATGAAAACGGTAGCCAGGTGTGCGTGTTTAGTGTTGGTAGCTGCAGCGCTGTATTAACGCGTCGTAAACGGTAGAATACATCGCCAGAATGAGGCGATAATTGAGGCATCTCACCAAAACTTACGCTATGCAATCAATAAAAAGCTACGTCATCTAGGTTTGTACCATCGACAGATTACACAGTGGCGCATCGTTTTGGACTCATCTCACTAAGTAATATGTCCTCCAATCGAGGCCATTTTTTATTCAAAAAACCGCTTCAATTTCGAACTTAATTGGACATTAACATATCGATAGGATATTCTCCACCAATCCCCAAGTTGTATTGAGTTAGACCAAGTTTTAAGACTGCTAATCCGTGGATTTACCACATCTACACAACAACGTCGTCCAACGCTGCCTTGCCGAATTTTACTGCCTCGCTTGAGCATGGCAGCGAGAGAGGGAGATATCCTAGCCGAGCCCACTTGTCCTTGCCTAAATGTGGAATCTTGTTTGTGTTTCCGCCGCGGCCCAGCATCGCTTGTTTCAACACAGATTGTAGCGTTAGGAATGACTTACTTAGCGTCACATACTCGAGCTCAACAAAAGCTGACTCCACCGCAACAACTAACTGCTCCACGTTGTACGCTCGCTTCTGATATTGAAGAGCTTGGATACTGAAAAAAAAAGCGAAGGTCGAGTATATTGAAGTCGGGGCTACGTGACGGCTGGTTGGCAAAGGTAATATTCCAGTCGTCAGAGCATTTAGCCGCTTTCACTTCATCTGAGTATGCACTACCGTGTGGCGTCGCATTATCTTGCTGCACCGAGACCGCTTATGATCCTGATAAATTTATTATAAATAAATCAACACGAGTCAAAACAAATAAACAAAAAAGTATTGAAAAGACGTACCGGGTCACTTGGCCTTGGTTACAGGAATAACCTTGTCGGCAAGGTACTTCTTGTGCCGTACCTTGTCGATCGAAGTGCATTTGATCTCAGGAGTACCCGCTGGACGGTTCCTCGATGAGCGCTTAGGCTCCACCATCTCCACGAACGGCCAGAAACCCAGCTTCCCATCGGCTGTGTGGATCATAACGAGGTCGCCCAGCAGCTACCAAAAAGAGAACTTTGGTGATATGATTGACGTTAGGAACAGCAAAGTGCGGAACTTCCTCGTTGTCTGTCGGGTAGTACGACTTCCTCTTTTTAGAAATGAAAAACAACTTTTCATCAATATGAATTGTGTCATTCATAGAGTTGAACCTGTACGTTCCTGATGCACAAATACTACAAAAAATTAAATAATATGTCAGAATTATTACAATATCACTTCATTAGAGCAGTGAGCGTACCAGCACCTTCCTCCACAAAACTGCAAACTCGATGCGCTGGTGCATTTGATCAGACGTCACGTATGGCTTCACAGACCCCGTAGCTCGACGAATGATGTATTTGATCGCCTTCGCACGCGCGAGGGTGATTCTAGGAATCGCAGTGGCAGCTGCCAAAGCTCGGTTGGATGTCCTCTCGATGGCAGGTACGGCATCCAGCGCCTCCTGAATGGCGTCAGGAGTCCACATTCGGGCTATGCCTCTAGCGCTTTCGTGTGGCTCCTTGTCCCTGGCGTGGAACACGGAGCTTACTGTCTGCCGTGTGTAGCCGAAGTGCGCAGCAGCGTCGTTAATACAGCCACGCGAGAGCTTCCCGTCCGTCATCCACTCCAACAAGTGGCGAATGATGCCTTCGTGGTCTAGAGGTGAAGGGTCAGGACCGAGGTCCATGCGTGCGCTTGGATGTTTCTATTGGTGGGGAATTATTTAGCGAACTGTGGACCGTTCCTATAATTTTTTTAACTAATCGCATTATTGTAACATTGTGGTGTTTACCACACTAAGGCCGGTTCCTATAATAACGGGATCACGACGGAGCATGATCCAGTTAGGGTTAAGTGTACGTGCAGATCATGATTAATTCACTCTTAACGGGATCGTGACCCTTCGGGTCACGAAGCACAGACGTTTTGCTTCAGCAACACAAACCGGTGTGCTCGAGGTCTCTCGTTTAGCATGGAGTCCGCCGTCTCGACGGTCGCAGATGCCTCCACTAGTAGTGGAGCTTGTGTGAGCACACACTGGACTGCTGTACAGAAGGCAGGCAGCAAGCGCACAGTTCCTCCGCCCTCGTCGGACGACTACAGCACTTGGACGGTAGATCAACTAAAGTAAGAGTGTACCGCGCGTAAGCTTTCTGTGGCGAAGAATACTAACAAGGCCGATCGAGTTACTATCCTTCAGGGGTACGATGAGTCCCAGAATGCCATGTAGCTGCTACTGGACCGTCAGCGGCAGGCCAAACGTGGTAGGGGGCCTTCTGCAGAGACCACTCAACGCAGAAGCAAGCACTGTTTGTATCGCCTGCTCAACGTACTCTTCTCTGAAGATTTTTTCGAGAAATTTATCACATCTGGTGACGCACTTACACGGCGTGAGCTAGATGAGGGTGGTCGGGAGTTCTGGGAGCAGGTGGCCGAAGCTTTCAGTACATTTAACGATGACTTCGACCGTCTTGTGTCTCCAGACTCGTTGTTTGAGGGTATTGAACCGCAGTTAATTACGGCTCATTCCGGTGCAAAACTTAAGTCTATGTGGAAGGAATGTAATTCGCGTTTCGCCGCAGCCGAAGGAAGATGCAAATTATCAGGTTCACATGACGAATTTTGGCAATTTTGCCAAGGAGATAAAGTAGCCATGTACGTTAACCTGTGGTGTGAAGAACGCGGTTCAGGTCGGGAATTTTGTGCTACTTGTATTTACGAGGATAACGAAGATGACGAATCAAAAGAGCGGGGGCCAAGTGAAAAGAAGCAGAAAGTGAATAGGAAGCGGCAAAAACAAGATGATCAACGAAAGAGTCTCGATTCCGTTTCCATTCTCACTAAAGCTGTTAACAAACTCGTCGAGATTGAAGTATCGAGTGCAAAAAGAGCATTAATTGAGGAGAAAACCGCTGTTGCACGTCTTCAACGCGAGAAGATGGAGAGAGATGTATTGGTGGAGAAAATAGCCGCTGTGGATGGAATTTTAGCTAAGCATTGCACGATCTCGACATACGCATCTATGAGAACGGACTTAAAGGGATGGACGTCGCTGATCTAGAGCGTGAACGTGAGTCTGCATTTAGGCGCGTTCAGACTGCGCAGGAGAAATCGGACGAGCTTCAAGATCACATAATGAGGAACTAACGGATCAATGAATATTTGTTTTTACCTTAATATCCCGATTGGTTTTTATTTACTTAAAGGCCTTGCTAAATTGTATCTCTGAATGTGCTCTAAAACCACTTTGCGAAAGATATGACCGTTTACAACCTGCATATTATCTTTACCCGTGTCGTCAGCTACTGTGGGCAAATAGCTGCAGCTTTCCATTGCGTTAAATTCTCTGGACGCGGCATTGCTTGGTCCTCCACTTTCCGGTTGAGAAATGCGCTCGTTAATGCAGTAATTATGTAATTTCATACAAGTTTTGATAACGAGCCCTGCATGTACATAGTCCACTGCCAGTGGCCTCTTAAATATTTGCCACTTATTAACCAGGAGACCGAAGGACATTTCAATTCGAATGCGTAGTTGGGATACATAAAAATTGTAGTCGGAATAATCTCTGGTTTTGATCTCCGGTTTCGTAAAGGGCACCAGCACGGATGATGACAATGGGTACGCGTTGTCACCGATGACATAATACCCAAAGGGTAAATTGGAGATAGCAGTGTGCAATGGCCACTTTTTAAAAGCAACACTATCCGAAACCTTTCCTGGTGAGTTAAAACAATAACCGGTAAATCTGCACGCTGCGTCACACATGGCCTGCACATTTATACCGTAGCACAAGTAGTGACCCGAAAAGAAAGCTGATACGTCGGGGACTTCATTTGCACTTGGAGCTTTTTATAGTGCACAACCACCCATCCACACAACCAACACAACCCGTAAGAATGTTGTATGTACTGATATCTGCAAATTGTGATGCTGCTCGAGTAATAGATTCCATGTCGTAAACAGGAGCCGTAATTTGATATCTAGGGTCATCACATATTGCATTCATCACTTCAATAACAGCAGAATAAAATTCAGAGGTGCTAACACCGGCCAGAGCTCGAATTGCATGATAAGAACCTCCAGCGAGCCATGATATAGTCATTTGTACCTTGTTTACTGGCGTTACAGGTCCGATACCAGTTCTGTTCCGTGACTTCAATTGATCGCGTTCTAAGACAGGCTTTAGAGATTCAACGATCCGCTCGAATGCTATAACATTCATTCTATAATAACGATCGAATTGTCCTTCTTGCACTAGTCGATCTCGATGCGGCTCCCACTCCAAACGTTTGCGTGAAACAACGTTCGATCTACGTCGACGACGTAATTCGCTCACAGCAACTACAACGGCAAGACAGACCACAACGCGAGATACTTTCATTGTCTTTCTCTTGAATGGTGCCCGTGACCCTGATCCCAAAGCGAGTGATGATCCCAATTTGGGATCATCGATTGTAACTAAAAATAAACATATGTATTTTTTAGCCAATCAGGTATCGAGTTTGTAGATCATGATCCGATGATGATCCCGTTAGGAACCGGCCTAAGTTCAAATGCGGTACCGGAAGTTTACGACACTGCAGGTAAAGCTCACAAAAAATGGGCAAAGAAAACAAAGCAAAAAAAACGTTTTAGCGAGCGGAAAATAAGCTTTTTTGCTGTTTTGAATGCATAGTGTAAAATAAAGAGGCCATGAACGATTTAGGTTGTTTAAAATATCAAGTTCTACGAGTTCTTGTTTGGTGCCTCTTTCCTTGCTGGTCTTCAAAATGAGCAGCTCTCCGCAGCACCACGATGAGGACTACGAGAAATTTTTCAGCGCGGACTTGTTCGTGAACCGCGAGTGAGTCTCAAGAGTACTGGTCTTCCCTACTGCTTCCCTCACACAAAGTCTGACATCCCTGTCTCTCAGCTACGAGTCAAAGGAGTTTAACTTTGGTGTAGTGAAGCAGAAGTTGCTGTCCTCCCACGCCGCATCTACTGACCACGATCTCACGGGCCAAGTGGTGTGGGCGAGTCTCCATCTTTCTCGCCTGGTATCTTGTGGCACATCGGAACGAAATCGTCTGCAAGAATGTGGTGGAGCTAGGCGCTGGTGCTGGGCTCAGTGGCCTCGTTGCCTCGCAGTTTGCGTCCGTATCAGCATAGTTCTGCATTGAATAGTGTGTCCAGCTCACAACTAACCTGACGCTGTTTTCCTTGATGCAATGTATAGTGCCCACACCGCCCTGACGGACGGTAACGACATCGTGCTGGAGCTGCTTGAAGAAAACGCAGAAACCAACGCCGACTCCAGCAAAGTGAAGGCGTTGCCACTGCTTTGGGGAGAACGCCAAAGCGTCGAGGCCTTCGAACAGGCATTCCCGTTCCCAATAGACATCCTAATCGGCGCTGACGTCATATGTTGGCCCATCCTCGTTAAGCCAATTCTGCAAACCATCAAGTACTTGCTGCTACGCTCACGCAAGCCGTTAGAGACCAAGTTTTGCTGCGGTTTTGTTTGCCGCGCGCAGTCGACGGAAAAACTGCTTTTCCAGGAAGCTCTGGCGTTTGGATTTCACTTTGAACGCATCTCAGAAGACACATTCCTTCCTACACCGCGGCCTTCCGAGGTGATTTCAAACCGGGAACTGCAGCTGATCGTGTTTACGCTCGACCCACGGGCTCCAAACTGGAACGAACCAGTGCGTTTCGCTGATGCTGAGCTGGCGAACATTCAGACCGCCTGCTAGAACTTCATGTAGATAGGCGAGATGCAGATAGAGATATAAAGCGAGAGTTACGCTCGAAAGAGGCCTGATGTATAAATTATGAGTTTGCGCTCCTTCCCTCTTGTTAAATAGTGGCGACAGGTAGCCAAGATCTAGCTGAAATCCTCCCATTTCGCGTGCCACCCATCGTCGCTTGACCTCTGCAAACGCTCACTTTCAAACGATCTCCTCGTCTGAGAGCTGCTCACCACCAGAGCTCTCGCCCTCACTGATGGTGCCATCTCGAATCCGCTGCTGACGTTTAGCCTGCCACACTCGCTCTTGGTACACAGCAGTCGCGATCAGCCTCTTGGCAGAGTCGTTGTCCACACTGTTGTCACTGTACGAGATCTGCGAGAGGACGGGGCAAACCAGCTTGCCCACTGTTCGTCCCAGCATCTGCATACTCGTAGCCGTCAAATAGTTCATCTCAATACCCAAAAAGCGCAATTTCTTCAATTGTCGGCTCTCCATCGCATACAACACGTGATGGAAACTTGAGTCTGTGATCGTATTGCCACCTAAGCAGAGCTCCATGAGGTTGGGCGCATAGCCGTCAGCCAATGCGTGACACAAGCTGCGAATTCCATCCTCCCCGATAAAGTTACGACGCAGATCTAGTCTCGTGAGCTTCGGACAGACCTGAGATCGCAGCATCTGCGCCACTTTAGTAGCTCCATAGTCACCGAAACTGTTTCCAGGAAGACACAGCTCCTCGATGTTCGGACAACATCCAAGCATCAACGTGTTCAACAGGACGTCGGCTTCTCCATCGGCCTCTTCGTTCGTGAACAAACACGTGATACTCAACCGTGAAAGTCCCGGGAACGTGTTCAGACGCATTTGCTCCGCCATGGACAAGACAATCTGCTCGTGATCATCGTGCGTCACAACGAACCGCTGTGGACAATTGGTGGCGCGCATCGACAGCTTCCCGAATGTCATTCCTGCGGACAGCGATACAATTTCACCC